TTGTTGGACCCACTGAGTCGAATTAGTGCTGCTAGTATGTGCCTAGGTACGGTACCACCCATCAGAGCATGGGGATTTAACAGGGGCCGACTCCCTGAAGAAAACAGATGATCCCTCCTGCATCAGCCATCCCCTGCCAGTAGCTCCTCAGCCAGGGGTAAGGTCTCGTGGCCACGCCTCACAATCTCTGTCTTTTGAATGAAGAGTGCAGTCTCTCTGTGTTCATTGCGGTGACTGCTCATAGGGCCTTGGCTAACACAGCCCCCTCTCTGTCTCTCTGTCTGTATTTCTCCCTCCCTTCTTCTCTCCCTCCCCCACTCTGTGAGTGTGTATGTGATTTGGCACACATTTTTGTGTGAGGTGTGGGTTGGAGGTCAACCTCAGGTGCTGGTCCTTACTTCCCACCTTGTTTTCATACAATCTTTTGCTCAGTGCTGTGTACTCTAGGTTAACTTGATCTCCTAGGGAGTCTCCTGTCTTCCCATCTCCCTGAGGCACCCCTGGGACTACAGACACTACATACCCTGATTTTTATGTACAGCAATTGTTTTCATCCATTGAGCCAGCCCCCCCTTCCCTAAAGTTCTAGGAAAGAATGTACACACGTGCAGCACCCCGACTTAGGAAGAGTTGTATAGACAGCTGAACAGGGTGCCCTGCAGTGCCACAGCCCCATGATCTCAATGGCTCCTGAATAGAAAACCCAGAGTGGATGCCTCCTGAGCTCCTCAGCTGTAGTGGGAAGGGGCCCAGGGAGGCTGGTTTCTGTCCTGATGGCATCCATGTGCTCTCAGGGCTGTGGGGCTCCTGTTCACTGTCTGTGACCAGGAAACCCTGGAGCCGGACTCCTGGCTCTGCCTCAGTAGACACTGATGTCTAGGTTTATACAAAACCTCAGGGCTGTGGATTTGTGTTGCAAAGACCCTGTCAGACCTGGGGACTAAGGGGATTGTGAGTTTAGACATTGGTGAGTTCACCTCAGTGCACAATGACATCCTCATTGTTTCCTGGAAGCATACTTGTTTTGCCCTCATTCTTTTTTTTTTTTTTTAAACAAGGTTGTTTGCATCCCAGATTTGTCACAGACTTTCTATAGAGCCAAGAATGATCTGGAACTTCTGATTCTCCTCCCAAGTGCTGGAGTTGAAGGTTTGTACCACCATGTCTGGTTTATATGGTGCTGGGGATCAAACCCAAGGGAGGCTTCATGTGTGTGTAAAGTCCTAATTTGAGCATGGTGCATGTGTTTTTAATTCTAGCACTTGGGAGGCAGAGGCAGAGGCAGGTGGGTTTCTATTAGTTCAAGCCCAGCCTGGTCTACATAGTCACAGGCTGGCCAAGGCTACATAATAAGACTCTGTCTCAAAGCATAATACATACTTATATTTGTAATTGTTAAATATGCAAATTACTATGCAAATAAATAAAGACGATCACTTCCTCTCTGTCTTTTAAGAGCTGTGATACTATTTTCTGTTTTCCGCCGACATGTCAGGAAATCTCTTATGGTTCTACGACTGTAGGTGATCTGTCTTTTTGTCTTTCCTGGGTGCTTCTCAACGTAGCTCGCTGGGTCTGAATGTGGCTTACTTTTAATTTGTTTCCCTGCCTGCTGGTGAACACTGTGCTCTCTGCTTCAGTGAGATCCCGGTCTTACTGGCTTTAGCAAATCTTGGCTTTCCCCTCTTCACAATTTGCCTTCCCACAGTTCTTTCCGTGTCCAACTCCAGTAATTGGTGGTGTGTGTCTCCTTTTCTATCTTAAATTTTTTTATTTGCTTTATATGTATGAATATTTGCCTGTGTGTGTGGATGTGCCCCACGAGCAAACCTGTTGGAGCCCCTAGAATAGGGTTTGCAGATGTGTGTGAGCCACCATGTGGGTGCTGGGAATCTTATACAAGAGGACCAGGCGTTATTAACCTCTGAACCAGCTCTCCAGCCTCTTCCCCTTTCATATATTTTTATTTGGAATGTGTGTGCATTTGTGTGTGCATGTGTGCTCATGTGCACACCCAATTGTGAACCACGTGTACTCAGGTGCCTACTGAGACCAGATATGGGATCCCCAGGAGCTGGAACTACAGGTGCGTGTGAGCCACCTACTGTGAGTGCTGGGCACTGATCTACTGTCCTCTGCAAGAGCAGCAAATGCCTTCATCTGCGCCACATCGCCTGCCCCAGGACCATTAGTATCTCTTTAGTTTAACTGCTTTTCCTTTTGAAAAGAAAGTATTATTGTTTTATTTTCTGTGTACGGATGTTTCACCTGCATGTTTGTCTCTGCATCAGATGCGTACCTGGTGCCTGCGGAGGCCAGATGTTAGGTTCCCTGGGACTGGAGTTGCAGAGGGTTGTGAGCCATCCTGTAGATGCTGGAAACTGAGTCCTAGTCTTCTGGAAGAGCAGCAAGTGCTCTTAACCAAAAACTCATCTCTCTATCTCTTTTAAAAATACAATACTCTAATCAGTTTCTTGAGGATTTCATACACGCACACATGCATTTTGATCATATTTACCTTCAACTCATCCCCCTGTGTCTCCCAAGTCCTCTCTTACTTGCTACCAACCTCATGACTTTGTTGTTGATGTTTTAACAAACCATTGAGTTCAGTTTGTGCTGCTCACATATTCATGGGGCAGGGACCATCCACTGGAACGTGGCCGGTCTACCAGTGACCACACCCTTGCAACAGGCTCTCCCTACTCCAGAAGCCATCAACTGTCGGTAGTGCCTCAGCTGGAGATGGAATGCCCTTGTGTGGCTCCATCTTGTTCAGGCAGCCATGGCTGCCGGGGGTTCCTGGGTGCAGTGGTTCGGTCATGTCTGGAAGATACCAGTTCTGCTCTCTGAGGTCCCTGGGGATGTGGCTGTGCTCTCACCTGTGGTTTGTTGAAGGTGAGCTGGTGTGAGCAAAGTTGTTTTTCTCCAGGAAGTACCCGATAGCCAGTAGTGTTCGCCCCATTTATTTTTGGCCCCACTAATTTTTTTTGCTTCCTGAGAGTTCAGTGGAACCTTAAAAAGAATGTTTTCAAGGCCAGTGAGATGATTCAATGAGAAAAGCCACGTGCTCCTGAGACCTGTGTTCCATCCCAGAGACTACATGGTGGAAGCAGAAAACTGACTCCTTCAAATTGTCTTCCTGGCTTGCACACGCACACACGCGCACAAACTGAACTCAATGGTTTAATAGTAATAAAAAGTATCCAGTCCAGAGACCGGATGTAGCAGGATGGATCTTGGAAGCGGAACCCTGATGGATAAAGAAACTTTTTGCTAATGACTAAGGCAGTGTTTTGAAATCTAGGTTCATTCTACATGGAGAACTTACAGAAACAAGCCAGAGTTCTGGTCCGATACATGAAATCAGCTCTTGGTAAAAGGGCCTCGTTATTCACCTCGTGGGAGGGGCGGTAGGGCTCACATGGCCAGGACATCCAAGTTTCTACTTGAGTATGAAGCAGTGGTGTTTCTGAATGCTACCAGATAGAGAGCTAATTCAGCAGAGATCAACTATCTGGAACTATAGAAATTTGTGAGGCAAAAAAAAAACATACTTTGTATGCTTCCAGGAAATATACAGTTTCGTGTGTGTGTATGTGTGTGTGTGTGTGTGTGTGTGTGTGTAGGCTAGAGGACAACCCTGCCTTTCATTCCTCTGGCACTGTGTTTTTTACAGCCCCGACTGTGCCGTGGGGACCTTGCCTGCTCCATCACTGGCCTGTCACTCCTCAGTAGCCACGTCCAGCACAGATTAATAAATGCTCAGCCTGGCGACCCCTCCACCTAAGGTATGGCTGAGTGAGCACAGGTTCCGGCTACGGAACTGGCTGGATCCACAAAGGAGCCAATGCTCATGTGATCCGATTGACAGAGAGGAAAGTCTGAAGTTTAAAGGCAGCTGTGCCCTGTCACCGCTTCTGAGATAGCTCTGTACTGTGAGACAGGGTGGCTGCACCCACCACAGACTGCATGCCCACTTCAGGCTGTGCCATTTAGTTCCTAGAGCACCGGGCTGGGGCACTCTGGAACCCAAACAACAAAGACATTACCAGGCTTAGGGAGTGGCCAGCCTCCTCGAAGCTACTGACTGCTGGGGAGGTGAGAAGCAGGGACAGATGCAAGATCGGGACCAAGTACACGGTCCAGCTGCCATCTGTGAGCTGATTGACAAGTACCCACGTCCCATCTGTAAGCAGCTGCGGCAGACATAGGGCAAGGAAAGGGGGGAAGTTCCACTGCTCCCCCTGGGAACATTTCTCCAGAGAGACGGAGGAGGCAGTAGATCCCTACCAGATGGGACCACTCACGGCTTCCACTTTTGCTATTTTCATTGTTCCTCCTGCTTTTGGTCAGCAGGGAAGTCATTGGCCCATTATGTTGAAATCTCTGCTTTGCCTCCCGTGGTCTTCTCTGCGGACCATGTTCAGGTCCTAGAACAGGATATCTGCGGCCCATACCTGCAAGAAGCAGCCAGACTCTCCAGTGTGACACTTCTGCCCATCATGGGCCTAGTGAGGTTCTTGCACTGGACTCCTGTCCCTTTCTCACTCAAGGACCCTTATATCCTGCCTGGTGGGAAGAGGAGCATCTCATCCTGTGTACCTTGGCCGGTCCTTCTTCCTTCCCTGCATCAAAAGATGCTTCCTGGCCCAGGGGAGCCCCGTGGGATCACTGTTCTGTAATGGTGGCAGATCACTCCATCTCTGCAGGATTTGGGGGGACTGTGCTGAGTAGCTGTCCCTCACACATGGATGTCACAGGGCTGGGAGGATAGATGCCCTCTGCCCTGGGTATGTTCTGGCCTCCTGCTCCTCCCAGCTGTTTTGAATTATAATGTAGGGTCTATTCAGGACTCTGGAGACTGCAACAGAAACACACATGCACACACTCACACGCATAAGTTTCATTTCCCCTTACGAACCCATGGTTAGGTCTAATTAATAAACCAAGCACAGGAAGACAGTAATACGAGCAATGACAACAAAGGAAATTGTAGCTATAATAAAATGAGAGTATGATCTCTTTAAGAATTCAAAAAACAATATCTGCAGACTTTTGTGGTTGAATGTATCTGAAAGGCAAAAGCATGGACAATGGGGGCTGTGGAACCCCCATAGGAGGAGCATGTAGCCAATGTGGTTTCTGGGTGCTCAGAAGGTAGGCTGTCCGCCCAAAGGCAGCAGGGGTGCCTGTTACTCTCCTTGGGGACCAATTTTATGAAGATAGTCCCCCCTAACCCCGGGGAGTATCCAAGGGTTTTTTTCTGCAGGCTCTGATGCCCCCTATCCCACCCCCCACCCTGGGCTGCTCTGACAGGTGTCTGCTCCACGCCTTCCAGGGAGATGTCCAAGTTAATGATGGGAAAGGCGAGAAGGCACAGTGGTTTAAAGGAAGGTCACCACCAGCTTAATGCAGGGAGAACAATTAGACTTCTGGAGCACGGTCATTAATGGCTCCGGTGAGGAGGCGACTTCACACCTTCAGAGAAGGAGCAATTTGCAGGTTCCACGGTGACTCTGGACCTTCAGGGAGGAGGGACAGTCTCCTCAGCTCAGCTAGGATCAGATGCAGCAGCTTCAGATCCTTCCCTGGAGAAAGGACAGGCCTGCAAAAGCTCCTGCAAGGATTCTAGGGTCTTGGTGAGCCCCACCCCCACATGCTCAGGACAGCAGGAGGTTCCGCACCTAGTCCCTCTGTCCTCCTTCTTAGCCCTGGGGGGTGGGGCAGGCTGCATCATGGGCAGCTCTAGGCCCAGCTCTGCACCAACTTTAGGCTGTAGCTAACAGGGGATGCAGAGAACAAGGACTAAAGGCCAGAACCCAACAAAATACAAATCTCTCCTATACCAAGTGTGCATCTGCCTCTGCCAATGGCACAAGGGTGGGATCTGCTACTCAATGTGTGGCACTTGCTTTGAAATACATAAGTTGAAATATAGGGACCCAGCTTCTTAGTTAGGTAAGAATAATAGCAAATCCTATTATATATGTATTATATGTGAATACATATCACACGCGTGGTGTGTCACTCTGAATACCATGGCGTAACCTGCATCCCAGGAATTCAGATCTCAATCACCTGTGCACATATCATCACTCCATCTGCAGCATCCAGAAAAACTCAGCTCAGGGCCCCCACAAGCTGTGCCTGTCTCCATTTCCAGGGCCTCACACGTGGCTTGTTTTCTCCCCCCGCGTGTGGTCGGCAGGCAGCATGAACTTGACAGCGCCATCTTTCTCCCAGCCTCTGCGGATCTTGGTGAGTCTGCGGCTGAGGCAGGGAAGGAGGAAGAGGCCCTTGGCCAGGATGATCACACAGGGCAGGAGCAGTGTGAGTGTGAACGTAGGCGGCAGGTAGAACTTGTAGTGGTTTTCTTCAAAGGCACGGGTCCAGCCATAGGTGAGTGTGTGCAGCGTGCTCAGCATCAGGGCCACGAAGCCCAGCGTGGACTGTGGGAAGAAAGGAGGCGGAAATGAGAGAGGAGGACCACGGATGCCAGAGCCCTGCTGAATTCCAATCCCAGCCCCACTTCTTTCTCTTATAATTTTTCTACGCTTTATTTGACCTATTTGCGCGTGTGTGGAGGTCAGAGGCCAGCTTGAGGAAGTGGCTTTTCTCCTTCCCCATGTGAGTCCCAGGGATGAAGCTCAGCTTGGCAGCCTTGGCAATCGGAACTGCCTCAACCACTGAGCCATTTTGCTGGCCCTGGCCCTCCGCCCTCCTCTCTCTCCTTCACTTCTTTTGAACTGGGCTTCTCATCCAGTCTAGCCTCAAACTCAGTACCTAGCTGAGGATGACCTTGACCTCCTTATCTCCCCTGTGGAGTAGAGAATGCAGGGCTTGCTTTGCCTGCCACCTAAGTCACAACCCAAGCCCTCTGCTCTTCCTACGTGTGGTGCAATGATTATTTCCCAAACCATCTGGGTGGGCTCCAGTGTCCCCGGCTGAAAACAGGAGCCACACTTCCAGGCTAACGGCATTTAAGGATTGACAGACGACCATGCCTTTTGTCTTCTTTTGCATCTTCTTCCAACTATGGCATTTGGACGTCTGATGATTCCCAGGAAACTTTTAGACAGAATTATACCGCAGGGGCTTTTAAAAAACATTCTATTGATTTCATATGTATTAGAATAGAAACAAAAGTCTGCTAGCATGTCCAGACAAGAATCTGACAGATAATGCCTGGCTGAGGTAAGGCTGAATCAAGAAGGATATTCATTATAAATTGTCTTAAAGAGAAACTGGTAGCTGGGCATGGTGGAACTCTCCTTTAATGCCAGCACTTGAGAGGCAGAGGCAGGCAGATCTCTGTGAGTTCAAGGCCAGCCTGGTCTATACAGTGAGTTCTAGGACAGCCAGAGCTTCATAGTGAGACCCCGTTTCAGACAGACATTTAGATGATAGAGAAACACAAGGTAAAGAGTTTGCTGGTTTGTGTACAGGATTCAGCACCAGCAGTGACAGTGGCTCCAGGGACCTGTGGTCTGGTGACCTGGCACTGTACAGAAAACCTCACACGGCCACCATGAGGCACTGTGTTTGTTGACTTCATCTCCTGCCCAGCACTAACTTAGAACCTCGTCAGCCATATCTCTCACTTGGAAAAATTGAATGTTGTAGTCTTATGAGCATCGCAGCCCCAGACGGAAATGTCTGAACATTCTTACAATAGTTTCCACCCTTGCAGGTATAGGTGGCTTTTGCAAGTTATTTCCAGGCAAGAGCAGCCAATGAACACTGGACTCTTGCATTCTCTTTCCTCCTCCTCCTCCCCTCCTCTTCCTTTTTTTCCTTTTTTTTTTTTTTTTTTTTTTGAGACAGGGTTTTTCTGTGTAGCCCTGACTGTCCTGAAACTTGCTCTGTAGTTCAAGCTGGCCTCGAACTCAGAGATCCACCTGCTTCTGCCTCCCGAGTGTTGGGATTAAAGCTGCGCAACCTCCTGGCCCAGGCTGCATTCTCATGGACCACAGACAGGAGATGCTGATCTTGTCATGCCTGCTGGGATTGACTGGCAGTGGTCCTGAGCACAGCATGTCATCAACTTCAGTGACAAGCAGGGGATTACAACAGCAAGCCTGAGCAAGGTGTGGGTGTGGGTATAGTGAGCTGTGTGGGGCAAGAGGAGAGGTCTGGACATCTCTGGATGAATGCTGACCACTAGAACCACTGAGGATTTAGGCTGGAGGTTTATGTGGTGGTCATCATCAAGCAAAAAGCGCTGTTTTCTTTAAGAAGCCGTCACACTGGTATGACCTAAAGAGGCTGCACATTCATGAATCTGGTGCTCCATAGACATTGGTTTGGGGCTTTTTAGAAAAGCAACAACTGGCTCCTAGATTTCTTCCTAGCCAGGCCTGTCAACATAGCGTTGGGGCTTGTCTGTGATGCCTCCTTGTTTGAGCTCACCTCAGATTCCATTCTAAAAGGGACTGGGGTCTGGTGGGGCTGGGGTCTAGTGGGGCTGGGGGCCGGCTCTGTGGGAGAGCCTCTGCCTAGCCTAGCATGTAGAGGATCCCGGGGTCCATCCACAGCACAGGAAAACTGAAATAGTACAGATGAATAGACAGGGCTATCATGCATTGCGCCTTATCCTTGCCACTTGCACCTGCTCTTGTATTAAACCAGGATAGTGAGTTCCAGCCAGAGAAAGAGTGTCACTCAGAAGGATTTGCTTGTGATGTTCCAGTGAAGCATCACAACAAACATTTCCCAGTGGCTGCACACTGTATTCATTGGTAGCTGCCTGGGGATATTTTTTTCCATTCTCCATTTGTGTGCGGGGGACACACATGTATGTGAGTACATATATGTGCATACATGTGTGTGTGCGTGCATGCATGTGTGTATGCATGTCATGTGGAGGTCTGAGATTAATGTTGGAATCATCTGTGATCTCTCTTCTACCTTATTTATTGAGGCAGGGTCTCTCAGTCAAACCCAGGGCTTGCTGATGAGCCTAGTTTCACTAGCTAGTTTGTTTAGGGTTCCCATCTCTATCTTCTGAGGTTGGAATTACAGGTGGGCCACCATGCCTACCCAGAATTCATGTGGGTTCTAGAAACCAAAACTCTGGTCCTCAAGTTGTGTGGCAAGCATTTTAACCACTGAGCCATCTTCCTCGCTCTGCTCCCGCTCTAAATAAGATACTCAAATGCAGGAAGAGCTCCCCTCCCCGGTCTCTCTCCACTGGATTTTATTTCTAAGTGTTGGTCAGTCAGAGGCTGGCTCCGAATGGAAGCTGGATGTTAAAATCACCTAGGAAGCCTGTGGGGAAGCAGGAGTTGCACCAGCCCGGCCCTGGGGAAATTCAAATTCAACTAGTTTAGGGTGGAGCTCAGTCATCTGGTGTTTTTCAGAGTTCAGCAGATGATACAAATGTGTCACCAGGACTAAGCCACTAATTTTGGAAACCCTCTCACCCACACCCTTCTAGCTGGAGGTTGAAGAACCCACGCAGGGCCCAGCACCCAGGCTGCTCTATTGGTGAGGGCCCAGCTCTAGCTCTTTAGAGAACCACGGACCCCATGTGTGCCACAGGCTTCCTGATATGCAGCAGCAGTAAGACCCCACCGAGGCCAAGGACGGTGAGGGCCCAGCTTCTCTTCTGTGATACGCCAGTGTTGGACCCACGTGGGCTCCTGTCTTCAGCACTCCATCTGAAGACTGGGAAGACGAGCATGCTGGTCCTATGGAGACCTTCCCGGGGTCCCCCCGCCACCAGCCACAGGCAGCACCTCATAGCCCTTCTTTTCTTTGTTTTCTGCATCCCATGATACATGTGGCAGGAATTTCAACTTTGGGCTAGTAATTTCTAGCAGGGCTGATAGCCAGAACGCTTTTAGATTTTCCAGGCCTGCTGGGAAACCTCGTTATTTTCAGAGAATTTGTTTTTCCTAAAATTCTCTCTGTCCTTGGGAACAATTTTTTTTTAAAAAAATTCTAGAATAACCAAAGGAAATTAGAAGGAAAAGAGTTGTCATGAAGCCATTAATAATCCCCTTAAGACATATACACCAAGCTGGTTCCACTTGTATTACACAGAAGCTTGCTAGCCATGGCTCCAGGTAGCACCAAAGTACCACAGCATGAAGAGTCTTCGGCCATCGCTCACCAAGTGTGGGTCAGGCTAATCCTTGTCCTTTCAGGCAGTGGCTGCATCAGGCAAGGTCAGAGGAAGTGCCTGTAACTCAGGGTCAGAACTTGGCTTTCAGGACTGCACCTGGGTTATCTATGTAGGGACTCTGCAGACCCCTGGACACCACGATGCTATGGAGTCTGACTTAATAGGGAAGGTTCAATATAGACTATGCTAAACAACAACACCCAAACAAACACTAACCCAAACTGAAAACTTCTAACCCCACTATGGGGGTCTGGGGATACAGCTCAGGAGTGCACTGTTTGTCCAGCACGTCTGTCTAAGTCCCTGGGATCTACCCCTCCCACACACACACATAAACAGGAACTGGTGTACACACCCGTAATCTCAGCATTTGGGAGGCAGATGCAGGAGGGTCTATACAAGGTCATCCTCAACTGTGTAGCCAGTTTGAGGCTAGCCTGGGCTTCATGGGATCCTGTCTCCAAAAGGAAACAAATGAGGTAAGGGTATAAGACAGCCCAGGATTTCATCAGTCCCACAGAAACGGGTGTGATGGTACATGCCTGAGACCCCAGCACTTGGGAGGTTGAAGCAGAAGGATCAGGCAGGCATTCGATGTTTTCCGTGACTACACAGATTAAGTTTGAGGCCAGCCTGAACTAAATGGGACCCCTCCCCCAAAACTAAACGAAACAATACCCAAATCACCTTGGAAACAAAAGGTGCAATGCAGGCATATGGAGTCTTTTAATGAGATCAGTATTCCAACGGCTCTCAGCTCAGCTAAATAGAGCATTCCAGGCCAAGGGTTGGCCCGGGCTCTTTGGAACACTAATAGGTTTCTAAATCCAATGGCTCTTCACTGCTCCAGAAGGCCAGAGCTTCGCTCAAAACCCCCGGCTGAGCAGGAACTGTCTCTTTCGCTGGCTTTTGGGACCCTGCTTCTCATACTGGGTCGCCTTGCCCAGTCATAATACACGGGAGGCGCCCAGCCTTCCTGCAGCTTGTTCGATGTGTCATGCTTTGTTGACGCTTGTGGTAGACCTGCCCTTTCCTGGATGCAGAGGGAAGAGGAAGGGATTGGGGAAGGGGGCAATGGAGGAGAGGGACTGGGAGGGGAGGATGGTGGGGGGAGGCTGTGGCCAGAATGTAAAATAAAAAGATGAATTAAAAGGAAAAAACCCAGCTGTTACTGGGCACAGAAAGCCCGCGCTTCCCATGGATCCTGCTCACATTCTTCCTTGTCGTGGTCCTGGGTGGCTACAGGGAGGTGCTTAGTGGGAAGCTCCAAACCACGGAGACACGCGGCGGATGGAGCAGGAAGGCTCTGTTCCTGCCACTGGAGGGCAGCATGCACATTTAGGGTCACCCCGACTTCCAGGCTGTCCCTGAGCCCTTTGGTAGCAGGGCCCTATCTCTCTAGAAATGCTTTGTGCTTTAAAACCTGCTATGGACATTTTCGATGGTGGCTGACAATAAGAAGTGTATTATGCATTACAAATGCCCAGGGCACAGCCATATAACCCAGCATCAAGAGGAAGACACAGAGATAGTAATAGCTGGGAGTTAGTGCGCTGACATGCACATCATCCCAGCTAGGAGGATTCTTAGTCCAAGAGTTCGAGGCCAGCCTGTGTAACACAGTTAAGACACCGTCCCCCAAACCAAAACATGCAGACATTTGGTACTTATCAGAGAGAGTAGGGCTGTGACCAGACACCCCCCAAAAGAGTAGCCATGTGCTGTTTTCCTTTCACCCATAATTTTTCCACGGTGTCTCACAAACATTTCTCTTATAGCATTAATTTCATTTTTCAGAAGTGCAAATTGAGGCTTGGGGGCAGGGGCATGGCCGGCCTACACTGCAGAGCAGGTGATGCTGGAACTGAGAAGCCCCTGGCAGACCCTCCTCCATACTGGGTTCTCGGGAGAGAGAGCACGAGGTTTCTGGGGCTAGAGTGCAGACATCAGACCCCCTAAATGAATCCCTGCCGTTCCACCCACTCGCTTCAATATGTAAAGCAAAGCATGGCTTCTGGAGTCCCAGTCAGCTTTTGCTAACAAAACCAAATCCATAGGCTTCCTCCAGCAGCCAGAGCCGGAGCATGTAATCTACAGCTGCTTAAGGGAAGAACTTTCTGGAAAGGGAAGCGACCCACAGCCTGTTTTAATTGTGACCGAACCACATACCCAGGATCCTTGAGGCGGTAAGTGAGAAATCCGAGATTTGAGTGTGAGACAAACAGGGATTAGTGGCAGATCAAGAAAATTCCTTCCCTCCCCACCCTCTTAGGCCAGGCTGTGTCAGCCCTGAGCCCTCCTCCAGGGGCCTTCTGGGAGAAGCACAGCCCTGAAGATTCACAGCCTTGCTTTAAAACTCAGCCACAACCGTTTGGTTCTAAGTACGCTAAGGGTCTCAGTCACAAAGAATTAATTTGGATTATATAAGAGCAGTATTCTGTCACTGTCCCTCTGAGTCCTTTTTGAACAGAGAAGCTGCAGATTGTGGTTGACAGTGGGGGTGGATATGGCTGTTCTTTGCCCTGATACAATACGATTGGCAGGAGCCGAGATGAGTCAGCCTCCATCCACCAGAGGGATGAGTTGGTCTGCCTGCACTGACCCTCTTGTACTTTTTGAAGAACACTGGGGGGTGCCCAAGGAATTTGAGACATGTCCCCCATATGGGTTGTGTCCCTTACAGTCTCTGCTCACCTTGCTCCCAGCTGTATCTTAGCCTATAGTGATTCCCAGTACAGTGTGTGCTCAGACTGGCCACTGCCTTGAAAACTGCAAGGAGACCCTTTCCCTGCAGCAGTGCTTCCCTGAGTGTTGGCAGCTGTGAGCTGAGAAACAGAATCGTGGTGGTGGTGTCCACAAATATCCAGTTATCAGAAGTTTGTGTGTACAAACTGCACTAGAATCTCTGATAGAATCACTGTGACTCTCTTACAGGAAGTAATCCATAATTTATGTATTGGAGAACTGCCATCTGTCTGTCTACCTATCACCATCAGTTCACACATGCATCCATTTATCCATCTGTCTATCTGTCTATCCATTCGCCTATACCAATACGAATCATCTATCTCTATCTATCTATCTATCTATCTATCTATCTATCTATCTATCTATCTATCTATCATCTATCTATCTACTATCAATCAATCAGTCTCTATCATCTATCAGTATCTATCAATCAATATCTATGTCTGTCTGTCTCTCTTACAGAGATTAGAGCAAGAGACTTGCACATACTTAGCAAGTACTCTACCTCTAAGTGACACCCCAGTCTTCATACTTTTTTCTTTGAATTGGTCCGAGAAACATCATCATTTAGGAAACACTGCTTGATCTCATTACAGAGCCGTCCTCATACCAGTTCCCACCTGCCCCAAAGGGGAAACGGGCACCAGGGTGAGCTGAGGGCGTGTGTGTGTGTGTGTGTGTGTGTGTGTGTGTGTGTGTGTATGGAGGCTGAACTGAGTGTGTGTGTGTGTTAGTGGAGGCTGAACTGAGAGTGTGTGTGTGTTGGTGGAGGTTGAGCTGAGGGTGTGTGTGTCAGTGGAGGCTGAGCTGAGGGTGTGTGTGTGTGTTGGTGGAGGCTGAGCTGAGGGTGTGTGTGTGTTGTGTGTGTGTGTTGGTGGAGGCTGAGCTGAGGGTGTGTGTGTGTTGATGAAGGCTGAGCTGAGGGTGTGTGTGTGTGTTGATGAAGGCTGAGCTGAGGGGGGGTGTGTGTTGATGAAGGCTGAGCTGAGGGGGGGTGTGTGTTGATGGGGGCTGAGCTGAGGGTGTGCATATGTTGAGGAAGGAGTTTCTAAGAGCACTCATAGCTCACTGCGTCCCATGGACACCAGGCTCCTGCAATGACTAGGGAAGTACTCTGTCCCCTGAGGAAGTTCAGCCCAGGGTCCCAGGCTCTGTCCACCGTCCTTGTCAGAGCTCTACACGATAGACTTCCCAGGGTCAGGAAGTCTAACTTGCCCAGGGCAAGCTGAAGCAGGATCAGGAGGTTGGAAGACCCTACAAGACGGGGAGTCCTCAGCACCTGACCCAGTGTCCCGTAACAACCAGGATCTAAGCTGAAATAGTCCAGAGAGCACAAAACTAGGCTGGCCCAGGACCAAGCTGCAGTGGGCGCTCAAGGGAAATCTGCTTTACCTGTACGAAGCTGAACTCCTTCCAGTTGAGTGAGTTGGCAATGGAGGGAAGTGAGGTGACAGCCAGCAGCGAAAGCATACCCAGGGCCAGCACGCCCATGGAGAGGTATATCTCCATGCGCCAGACTTCTTCCTCAACCCAGAGGCGGCTCTTGTTGGCCAGGACCTGGCAGAAGGGAAACCATGACCACGATTAGCAAAAGCTGGTACCCAAGAGCACACGTCACCCTGGAGCACGTGTGACTGAGCACCAAAGGACAAGAGTGAGAAAGCCACAGCTATGTTCACGCTCTGCTGAACAGCTAACATGTGCCAGGCATATTCTAAGCACTCCCCAGGTATTTGAAAGCCACACTGGGTGGAGAGATGGCACAGCGTTAAAAGCACTTGCTGCTCTTGCAGAGGACCCAGCTTTGGTTCTCGGCCCCCACGTCTGGCAGTTCACCACCTGTAACTCCCATTCCAGGGGCTCTTATACCTTTCTCTGGTCTTTAAGAGTTCTTACACTCATGTGCACATACCCATACATGGACATACAGGAGTTATTAAAAATAAATCTTTGAGCCAGGTAGCAGTGGCACAGGCCTTTAATCCCAGCACTTGGGAGGCAGAGGCAGTCAGATCTCTGAATTCCAGGCCAGCCTGGTCTACAGAGCGAGTTCCAGGACACCGAAAACCCCTATCTTGGAAAAACAATAACAATAAATAAGTAAATAAATAAAATCTTTAAAAATAATTAATCTCATGATGTCTCCTTAAGACAGAGAGCTCTGTATCCCCATTTTAGGGATTGAGGAAACAAGAGACAATGATTGAGCTGGTTTCTCAAAGTCCCAGCTCCCTTCCTGGCTGATGGCCGATCTCAGCTTGAGGGTAAGAGACCAGAGTCCCAGGATATACAGAACCTCAGCTGGGCCTGGGGATGAATGCCTATAATTCTAGCACTCGGGAAGCTGAGTCAGGAGGATCATTGTGCAAATCTAGCCTGGGCTACTCATTGAGGCTCTGTCTCATATCTTACCCCCGGCCAACAAAAGAAGCCTGTGTTCCCTATGCATGGCTATACCACACTGTTTTCCAGCCCCCAGTCAGGATAGTGGAAAGGCAGTGTTTCAGGACTGTGTCCCCTCCGTCTACGGACCCACAGCCCTCCCGGCTGCCTCACCTGGACCCTTTCCACCCTGCTTCATTAGTGACTCACACCTGAGACACACGATGACACTCAATGCCACCCCTCAACATCTCCAAACTCAAAACCCCCAGACCCCTTTCTTTCCATGTGTTCTTTTCTCTCTCTCGGGAAGGGGGGCACATACTTCTAGCTCATCTGTTGCCTGGCAACAGTCCGACATCCCGTCACCAGTTAGTTCAGCAAGCACTTAGAAAGTACCTACTGTGTGCTGAGCCCTGAACTACATGAGAACATCTGCCATCATGACACCGGTGTCTCCCACTGAGCTCCAAGGACACACACGTGCATCAGGGATGCTCTGAGCCCTGAGATGGCCCCTCCTCATCCACTGGCGTTCCCTGACCCAGCGCCTGCATGGGGAAGAACTGGAATCAAGGTCCTTCTGTCAGGACTGCCATCAATTCCCAGTCAGTCCTGCCATCAGAAAAGCAAGAAAGAAAGGAGACTAAGCAGGCTGCTCTCTGCCTCTCCTACAAGGAGACTGACTCAGACGTGTGTGTGTGTGTGTGTGTGTGTGTGTGTGTATGTGTGTAACTACTTCAGCAGGAAGAAAAAAACCTCATGTAAGCCTGTTACTGGAATAGAATATTAAAAATGAATCCAGGGGCTAAGCAACAATGGCTGCAAAGTTTACAAAAGAAACTAAAGGAGTCAAGAAAATGCCATCTATGGCCACTGCCTGCACTGTGAGAAAAGATGGCCTGGTTTTTGTTTCTGTTGTGCGACAGGGTCTCCTGTAACACAAGCTGTCCTCTAGCTCACAAGGTAGCCAAGGATGACCTTGAATTCTGATCCTCCTGCCTCCACTTCCCAAGTAAGTGCCATAATTTCAAGTTTGTGCCACACGGCTAGGCTGTGGGTGTTGCTGGGATGGAACCCAGGGCTTTCTGCTTTCTAAACAAACACTATGGGCTGAGCCGCATCCAGTTTCCCATTCTGTATTGTAGGGCAGACTGCTTCATATTGCTGTCTGAAGGCCACAAAGGACCAGGAGTTGAAGGACCTGTTTCTTTCCTAACCACTGGCCTTGTGGGTCTAAGACACCATCTCTGGACCTGTTTCTCTATCTGACAGATCCCAATGAGCTGGGATTTTGGCCGGTAATTGCAATGTGGTAAAACAAGCTGGAACAGCATTTGCTAGTGGGGAGAAACGGGTCTGACCCTGCAAAAGGCTCAGGTCCCTGCCGGAGCAGCCCCCAAACAAGACTGACTCATGGTTGGTGGTGTTAGCGAAGCGAGTCATCTCCATGTGCTCTGCTGTTTGCGCATTACTCAGCGGCTCGCTGAGCTCAAGTGGCTCACATCACAAGTCCCGCTGTGCATGACTGCAGAGTATTCAACAGTGGCTTGCAACACTGGTGCTTCTCCCCGCTCCCCGCTCCCAGCTCCCCGTGAGGAGGGGAGGGCAGGGAAATAGGCCTGGAGGCTGATCGTTATCACTTTTATGGCGTGAGTTCAGTGTGTTTAAGTTTGTGTGGAGGCCAGGGGTCAACATTGGGTGACATTCTTCAGGAGCTGTCTACCTTGCTTATTAAGATGATTTCTTAATGAAAGTGGAACTTGGCAAGTAAGCTAGGCTGCTGGCCAGAGAGCCCCAGGGATCTGCCTGTCTCTATCTCCCCAGCCTGGGATGGCAGGCATGTGCCGTCACTCCCAGCATTTTCATGGCTTCCGGGGATTGATCAAACTCAGATCCTCATGCTTGCAAGGCAAGCTCTTTGTTGGATGATTCTCCCTCACTCTAGTGGTCCCACGCTGGTTAGCTTTAGAGTGAGGAGGACAGGGGGAAGCTGCCTGTGGGCTGGCCAGCTGTTGCTTCTGAACTTGACTTCTAACTAATCTGGAAATGCATCTCCAGGAGCAGCACAGGCAAGTCAGAAAACCACAGCAACACCAGTCTAGGTAGTGATGATGCTGCTGGAAAAGGTGGTCTTGAAAGCCTCCAGGCTGCACTGTCTTGGGATTCAGGGAAATCCCAGAGAGGTTTTCTGTGTCCATGTTATTGTGTGTACTCCCTGTTCCTACAAGGCCCAGAAACAGCCATTGTGAGCACTGGCTACAGGGAGGTAGCCAAGAGCAGTCAAGGGAACTGCTTCTCGCAGGTTAAAGCTTCAGGGACAGGATACAACATTTCTCAACAGTGTCCTGGTCTGGGACCCAAAGGTGCCTACCAATCACCTGCCTAAAAACACCCAGGTTGAACTGGCTCAGCATTGCCAGGTTTTGGCATGCTAAACCCCAGCCTTTCTTTGAGTGTTGCCTCAGACATGCTCCATCAGCCTGGCTCTTCCCTTGAGAAATTGGCAACATAGCTGAAGCCCCTTTAGGTCACAGGCTGTCTTGTAGGAGTAAGACGATTCACCTGTGCCATCTGGGCCATGAAGCTGGCGTGATGGCAACACTGGGCTAATGACATCAAGGAGGGTCTGGGCCAGACAGAGAATTTAGAGAACAGCATACACTAAGAGGGAGGGGAGCTGCTCAGTCAACGGCACACGAACCTGCCTTGGGTCACTAGAAACTAATCGGAAAGCTGGGTGTGATGGCACGGCCTTGTGACCCCAGCACTGGGAGGCAGAGACAGTGGATCCCTGAGGCTCACTGCCCAGATAGCAGAACCTATTCAGCAAGTTCCAGGCAACTGAGAGACCTTGTCTTAAAAATAACAAAACAGATGAACAAAAGTCCCCCAAACAATAAGTACAAAACCCAAACCGCATAGTACTTCAGGATCAACAGCTTAGGTGGTCTTTGCCTCCACATAGACAGGCCAGCACTTTTATGTGCCCCACATGCGTGTGCACCTGCAGAGGTGAGCATGCTCATACACACAGAAAAGGGGATTTAGTTAGGGCTGGGAGGGGGGGGCAGTGGCTTCCTATGCCCTGGGAGAGGGTGGGCCTTTTCTTAGCTCTGCCTGAACTCTTGATGACTCAGCACAGAGGGCTGAACATGCAGGGCTCCGGCCCCTGCGTCACCATTTCCGGGACAGGACATGCTGCCTGGAGTCCCTTCAGTAGGAAAGGGCTTCCACATCCAGGGGGTTCACCTTTTGTAGAGGAAAATGTCACCCTGGACTTGCTGCAGGTATATAGTCTTAATTCCTTAGGAAGCTGAGGCAGTAGGATCACAACTTCTGGGCTACAGATGAGTTCAAGGATGCCCTGGGCAACTTAGTGAGAAAAAAAAATCTAGCAATGCTGAAGCATGCATGGGCAGCCCGTATATGGTGGTTCTGTCAAACTTGTCTGAGAAACCACAGGCAGGGAAGCAGGTGCCTGAGGTGGGCAGGGATGGAGGCCTACAGTCCAGCAGTGACGTGACCTCACTCCCACGCCCTGTGTCCCTAGGGGACCATGTCAGGGTGGGCACTGGCCTCATGGGATCCTTATACCATGAGGGTGGATGAGATGAACTTCTCTAGCCCTGGGATGAACCCTGCTGGGTGACTGATGTCCTATGTGGGCAGCATGCAGCCACCAGCCTGGGGCCAAGGCTGACATAGAAAAAGAAAAGCAGAGACGCCATAGTTCTGAACTTGAAGCTAAGAGTAGAGAACCAAGCAGGAATGCAGGCGAGAGAGGGGACAAGCTGCTTCTGTATGCACTGTTGCCTGCTGATGCCACCATTCCTGCTCCCTTGACTTAAAGACCCCCATTGTCCAAGAACCCACTGGGCAGAGTGGTGCCATATGGCTTCTTAAGTGAGTAAATAAGACCACGCCTTAATTAAAAAGGAGAGGAGCCACCTCAGTTGGTAAAATGCTTGCCCTGCAACTGTGAGGATCTGAGTTTGAGTCCCAGAACCCACAAATAAGCTGGGCATAGGCTGGGGAGATGGCTCAGTGGGTAAAGTGCTTGCCACAAAAGCATGAGGTCACACGCGTGCAGACTCATGTGCATACACACACACACATGTGCACACACATACACATGCACACACATAATGTTAATCTCAGGAATGCAAAGGTGGGAGGTGGAGGCAGGTGGATCTGGAACTTGCTAGCAAGCTGTGAGATCTGACGTCAGATCCCCAAAACACACGTAATATGGGGTGTTGTAGTGCACACCTACAGTCCCAGCACGCCTGTGGAGAGACAGGATGCAAAGATAGGAGTTTCTAAAAACTCCAAGGACTGCAGCTAGTCTAGGGTCTGTAGAGGCAAACAATGCAGAAGGTGAGGACCAACGCTGACCTCTACAAGAGCTCCATGGCAAGTATATACCCACACTTATAGGCAGCAACACGCACACACGCACATGCACGTACACATACATGCACACACGCACACACACACACACACTGGCACTCTTTTCCCACTATGTCTTCCTCCACAGTGCTCAAGAACTAAGTACCTGCTCTCCCTTGGCCTCCCACACTCAAGTCTGCATGAGTGAGGATAGAGCCACAGTGGTACCCAGATAGCTCCTGGTGGAGGTGGTGGGTTGTACCTGCTTCACGGCCAGGTTGACCAGGTCGTAGCGGTGGGAGCGGCGCAGCGGCAGGCAGAAGCTGTAGAGCGCGTGCAGCATTCCGAAGAAGAAGCTGAGCAGCCCGATCTGCTTGCGATGCTGCAGCCAGAGGTCCAGCCAGTCCGGGAAACGCTGGTACTTGGTCCCCCTCCTCAGCTGAAGGGCGGCTGCCAGCACACCAGGCAGGTACACCAGGGAGAGCAGCACATAAGCCACACAGGGCAGTGTGGTGTTGACCACAGACAAGGGCACCTTGTAGAATTTGTTCTCATGCTTCCGCACGTATGGCTGCAGGACATCCCGGATGAAGTTGTAGGCATAGAAGCACACAAAGAGCCCCAGTGCCAGAAGGATGGGCACCTTCCAGGAAGGAAAGAGGCGCAGGGGTATGGCCTCTATCTCTCGGGCTGAGGCAAGCGATCCCATGTCCAGGGGTGTGAAACCCATGGCGCGTGCCATCTCTGAGATGGTGTGCTTGGCTTCCAGCTGGTCACTGCAGATGAGCACCTGTAGGAAGAGAGAAGGGGACAGTTGGCTGGAGTCACAGGTATGGGCATGGCTAGGTGACCACCAGGGTCAAGGGCCTTAGTTGAGTTGGAGAAATTGTGGCACAGAGGGCAGGTACCAGTGAGTGACCAGCTGATGAGAGTGCAATTCAGAGTGCAAGATGGCGCTGATGCTCAAGCCAAGGATTTGGGAACAGAGGCCCTGCGGCCTCCCCTGGAGCGAAGAGACAATGCCCTCCTTGCAGGTGTTCTGCTGGCTAGGTGATATCACTGTCAAGGTAGATGCTCAGTCAGACAGCCCCTGTTGCCTCTGGAACAGCTGCTTCTGAGGACTAACTGCTCAGGGACCGCCTCTTTTGCATGTAGCCTCGGAACGTGAGGCAGCAACTGCAGCTGCATCCTTCAGTGCAGAGATGTTTTCTATGGTGCTGTCCCTTGGTTCCACAGAGACCTCAGTCCCCAGCCATGTCTGCCCCATTGTCTCAGCCTGCAAGTCCGCTGTACCCCCTGAGCTCCATTGGAAGACACATTGGTGTCTTTGGGTCCCCTAGAATCCTGAATGATCTTGTTAACACACCTGAGGTCTATCTAGTCTCCCACAGTAACTGAGCAGTTAGTCTGAGTAGTCATCTCAGCCTCCTGCCCAGCCTGCAGGTCAGTACTAATACACCCATCTTTCAGATGAACAGACTAAGGTCTGAGAGCCTCGGTTTTTACTCTGGTACCTTTGCAGGTTGTCAAATCAGCCTGGGATGCCCTCCCTGCTTCCTGAGCCTGAGTCTAAGGCCGGTTGAGGGTCTTCTCCAGCAAGCCCTCTGTCCTAGTAAGCTTTAACTGTCAGCATGGCCACTAAGTCATCTAAGAGGAGTGCCTCAATTAAGGGATGGCCCAGATCAGATGAGCCTGTGGGCATGTCTATGGGGGATTGTCTTAATTGTTAATTGGTGTAGGAGGGCCCAGCTCACGGTGGGAGGCAGCATTCCTAGGCAGGTGGTCCTGAGCCTTGGAAGAAAGCTAGTTAGCAGGAGCAGGAATGAGGCAGCCAGCAGCAGTCCACGGTTTCTGTTGTACTTCCTCATCAGGTGTGAGTTCCTGGCACAGCGGCGATGCCACATGGAAGAGGCCTGGGCTCTTACTCTGACTTACTCTGTGATGGACTGGGACCTGCAGGCTGACATATGCCCTTTGCCCCCTTTGTTGCTTTCAGACAATTTTATCACAGCAATGGAAAGAAAATAAGAGCACCATATGAAAACCTGTCCCTGTCCTGAAAGTCCCATGGTGCAGTCACACATCTAGGTCACACAGTGATGGATAGCTATGTACCTAGAGATTCTCTCAGAGATGGGCCCTGAATAGTTTATGGATGGACATTCTACCACACGTGTAGAGTCCGGCTTTCTTTTGGTCGTGTGTGGTATTTGTGAGGATGTATGTATGTGCGTACATATGTTTCATGTGTGTGCATGTGTATGTTGAGGGCAGAGGTGAAGTCAGGTGTCTTAATCTATCCCTTTCCATTTTGCTTGTTGAAACAGGGTCTCTCACCGAACCCGACGCTTGCCTTTTTGGTTATACTGGTTGGCTACCAAGCCTTAGGGGTCCCCCTGTTCCTGCACCAGTGCTGCTGGGATGACAACCACTACATAGTTTTTATGTGGATGTAAATCTAGGTTCTAATGGTCTCATAGCATGCATCTTACCCACTGCACCAGCTCCCCAATCCCAAGATATCTCCTCCTTGAACCCCAAGTCAACAGCTATCATCCTTTCCTTCATACTGAGGAAACCAAGCTCCCATCTCAAAAAAAAAAAAAAAATACAGGGATCCCATGTCCATTATAAATTGGGTTCAAGCTGGGCGGTGGTGGTGCACGCCTTTAATCCCAGCACTGGGGAAGCAGAGGCAGGTCTGTGAGTTCAAGACCAGCCAGGTCTACAGAGTGAGTCACAGAGCAGCCAGAGCTACACAGAGAAACTCTGTCTTGAAAAACAAAAACAGAATAATAAATAAATAAATAGGATTCAAATCCCAACTCACCAGTGTTGGGCTAACATCATTAATGTCTCTGAGCTTCGACTTCTTGCTGTGTAAGATGAGATTTTTAGGGTAACATGATGATGCTGGCTGCCATTCCCTAGCACCTACCTGCCTGTTCCCATCCCTTGGGCCAGCCTGCAGGGCCCAAGCAGAGATGACATTGAAGGCCTTGACCACAGTGCAAGCAGGGAAGAGTGAGGCCAGGTACTCGGCGTTCGACTGGTGGTTCTGAAGATGCTCCTTCTCCGTGGGGTTGCTTACATCCACTAGGATCTTGCCAGCCAACTGGTCGCCCAGACTGCACAGCGAAGAATAATGCTCCCGGAACACAGCTACAAAAACGACCTGTGGAGAGCTCACGGCCTCCTCCTGAAAAGTCACGTGGGCTGCGGAGGGGAAGAGCCCAGCTGTGCGTTTGGGGTTACGACTCCCCACTACCACGCTGAAGCCAGAGCTCACTAGGCGTGTGGCTAGGGAACGGGCAAAATCCCCACTGCCCAGTATGCCCACTTTGGGGGCCTTGCTGGGGACCTCAGCCAGACTGCCATCACTGTCCACCAGGCGGCGACTGATCAGCGGCTTGTCCATGTCCCCGGACATTGCGGTAGCTGTAAGAGAATGCAGAGATCTGGTCACTAGAGGCCTCCCAGGGCATCTGGCCTCCTCCCTCCCACCTTGTGTCAAACATGGCTGGTTAGGTCTTCATCCAGCAGACACCAAGTATTTGCAAACACAGGGGACAGGCTGATCGAGAGCAGCCCCGCCGGATGAGGACATATAAGCAGAGTGGGAGGACTCCGACCTCCTGAGGAAGGCTGGGAAGACAGAAAATGAAGGCTGGGAAGGTGGCTCAGCAAGCATGGAGATTAGAGCTTGGATCTCTGTGCCCATATAAACACTGGGTAGGCATGGGACTCAGAAAGCAGCGAGAGGGGATCCCTGGAGCAGGCTGAGTAGCTAGCCTGGTCATATTGGTGAGCTTTGGGTTCACTTTGAGACCCTGCCTCATTGAGTAAGGTAGAGAACAACAGAGGGTATAGGCCCGTCTTGGGCCTCCACAGGCATGTGTATACACATGCATACATACCTCAACATGGGGAAAGAAAAAGGACAGGGACACTTAAGAGGACATGGGAGGGGTTGGAGGCTCAAAGGTTAAGAGCATTGGCTGCTCTTTCAGAGGTCCTGAGTTCAATTCCCAGCAACCACATCATGTCTCACAACCATCTGTAATGGGATCTGGTGCTCTCTTCTGGCCTGCAAGCATACATGCAGACAGAACACTGTATGCAAAATATTTTTTTTTTAAAAAAAAATAGGACATAGGAAAGGGGAAAGGAATCTAGGCAAAGCCTCTCACCAGCCGAGAAGCATAATTCCAGTACATGAGCAATGTTTGCCATGACGCTGCTCACGTGATTACGCTTATACCCAGAGAAAATGCTAAAATAGCAATGACCTGAGATGCGGAGATGGCTCAGAGGCCTAAGTGCTTGCCGCACGAGGATCTGAGTTTGGATCTCTAGAATCAATGTACAAAAGTCAGGTGTGGCAGCATGTGCTCACATGTGCAGAGTCAGGCAGATCCCTTGGGAACCACTGGCATGCTAAATTGGTGTAGCTAAATTGGTTTCAGGTCCCAGTGAGAAACCCTGTCTCAAAAAGTTAAGATGGGGAGTGACTGAAAAAAAGACACCTGACATTGATCTCTGGCCCCCACACAAACACACACATACACACACACACACACACACACACACACACAAATAAAAAGGAGATAATAGCGCTTTCCTTACAAGGTTGCAGAAATAAGTCAAACAGGGCTGGGCACAACTATAACCAGACTCAAGCCATAAGCACTGAGCAAGCACCAGCGGCAGAAGACCCCTCTGCACCAATGCCAGGTACCGGTCAAGCCATAGAGATCAGAAATGGGTTGTGGGGGGACAGGAGTCAGGAACAAGTGTTCTGCAGGTTGGCAATAGAGACCCTCTCTGCTCAGCCACCTGGAACCTGGGACCATCCCACCTGACCCCACAAGGCTTCCAGGCTAGGGTGTCCACATTTGCTAACCATTTGTGTGACCTCAGAAACCTGGATGAACAGAAGTATGTCTTCCATCTCTACTTTCAAATTGCTGAGGCAGGAGAATAAGGAAGAAAATAAGGTTGGGGAAGGCTTTGGGCAAAATCTTACAAAATTCGCATACAAAAATTGGCAGGAGAGCTGGGTGGTGACGATGGTACATGCCTTTAATCCCAGCACTTGGGAGGCAGAGGCAGGCAGATCTCTGTGAGTTCGAGGCCAGCCTGGTCTACAAAGTGAGTTCTAAGACAGCCAGGGCTATGCAGAGAAACCCGTCTTGGAAAATAAAAAAAAAAAAGAAAGAGAGAGAGAGAGAGAGAGAGAGAGAGAGAGAGAGAGAGAGAGAGGGAGAGGAGGAGAGAGGAGAAGAGAAGAGAAAAAAAAAGAAAAAAAAAAAAAAAGAAAGAGAGAGAGAGAGAGAGAGAGAGAGAGAGAGAGAGAGAGGAAGAGGAGAAGAGAAGAGAAGAGAAGAGAAGAAAAAAGAAAAGAAAAGAAAAAGAATGACAGGAAGAAACCTTGAAATCCCTTGACCTTGGCAACTAAATCAGGCCACTGGCACAGGTATGGGTGTATGTATGTGTATATGTGTGATGTACATATGTGTGCACATTTATGAGCCTGTATATGTGTGGACATAAGCCTTGTATGTTGGTTCTCACTCTCTGCCATGTTTGACACAGGATCTGTTGTTTTTCCTGCTCACACACCAGGCTAGCTGGCCGAGGAGCTCTGTCTTACTTCCCATTCCCCACAGGGTGCTGGAGTTACAGACATTCATATTGTATCCAACTTTTTCGTGGGTTCTGAGGATTCAAACTCAGATCCTCATGTCTGCAAATGCTTTTTACTTACTGAGGCACCTCCCCAACCCCTGCCCTCACAGTTCTTCATGGGTATGGCCACACCCAAGCACAAGACCTGCCACTGTTCTGATGGCTGTGGGGAGGGACAGAGTGGTTGGCACACATCCTGGAGTTTTGAGAGGCTCAGAAGTCACTGCTGCCTGTGTATTTAGTAGAGGTCAGAGTCTGAATTGTCTGGACTCTAGATGTGCCTGGCTCTGATGTGGGATCTATTTATAGACTGAGGGCACAGAGGGAGAGGGGATCTGATTGCAGCTGATGGGCCTAGGTCTGTAGCCTGGATACAGATCTACTCACCTGCCTGCCAAGCTATGGCTGGGGTGACCCGGTCCCCTCGGGGTCCCTGCCAGGCTCCTTGTCCCCTCTCGATTCCCAGCAGAGCCAAAACATGGACTGCAATTTTGGCTCTGATACACAACTGACCTGCCAGCTCCTGCCTGCTCTTGGAGGCAGGAGTGAGAACAGTCACGGAGATAATAACCCAGGCCTTTTCTCATGGGTCGCGCCACCCTTTGGATTCTAAGTGGTCATGGATGGCCACCAGGCATCCCTTGGGTGCAGTTATCCTCACAATTTAAAATAGACCCTATAAGGAAAACAGGCAGATTCCCACCCAGAACCCAGGGTTACCTCAGACTGCCAGGATGCCCATATGTTATCTTTGGGTGTGTGTCCACACTTTAAGGATGAAGCCCAGGGCTTTGAACACACGAAGGCTTGAATTCATTCTGCCACCAAGCTACATCCTTTGCCCACTTATGGGTTTGATTCCTTTTAAACATTCGTGTGTGTGTGTGTGTGTGTGTGTGTGTGTGTGTGTGTGTGAGACAACAGGTGTACAATACAACTGAACATATGCAAACTGTATGCTGGAGCAGTGGCTCAGTGGTCAGGAGCCTGCACTGCTTTTGAAGCTGTGTGAGTTCGGTTCCCAGCACACACGGTGCGTGGCTCACAACTACCTGTAACTTCAGCTCGAGGAGAGTCTGATACCTGCGACCTCCACAGGCATTGCATTCATGTGCATGAATTCACACACACACAATTAAAAATGAAAAATAATAAATTTTTTTAAAAGTTTTCACATGCTTGTTCAGCATGTAGACTCTGGGTTTAATCCCAGGCATTACACACACTAGTTGTTTTTGTTTTTAAAGAAATTGAGTCTCCAAGGACTGTTATTTCTGTGACTGAAAAGCAAACATGCTTTGGGGTTAAGTCTGAGTCTGTGATTCATTTGTCTCGGCATTCAAAGCTTCTTTCCTTGTTTTCTGCCTAGTTGAGCTCTTTAAGTCCCATGACCCGCAGAGAAGTCAAACTTATACAACAGCCAAAGTTAACTGTTGGGGAGGAGCCATCGTCTCTGGGACTTGGCTTGCCCTGTGGCTTCTTTCTACCATCATTCCAGGGAGGTGTGACTGGATCTGTATATGAGTGCTGAGGTCTCGGGGCTGCTCCGCGGCTCCCAGGGGTATCCTCCGCTATCCACTGCAAGGCCTTGAGTTTAAATGAGGCCATGCAGCAGGATACGGCACACAGCAGCCAAATCTTCCAGGAGGTGCACTGCCTCTCATTTCCCCATGGGCGTGAATCTGCTCTGTCTCCTCTGAAGCTCACACTGAAACGTAACCATTACAGGGCATGAAGGGGAAGGACGTCTAAGAGGTGGATTAAAGGGGCTCAGTCGATGAAGTACTGTGCCTTGCAGACATGAGGACCTAAGTTCAATACCCAGCAACCATGTAAAAAAGCCAGCATGGTGGTTGTCTTAGGGTTTATTATTGCAGTGAAGAGACACCATGGGCACGGCCATTCTTATAAAGAAAAACATTTCATTGAGGGGGCTTGCTTATGGTTTCAGAGGTTCAGTCAGTTATCACCAAGACAGGGAGTATGGCAGCATTCTAGCAGAGGTGCTGCTGGAGCTGAGAAACAGGAAATCCACTGACTGTCATACTGAGTGAAGCTTGAGAAAGACCTCAAAGGCTGCCCCTACGGTGGCACACTTCAAACAGAAGGTGTTGTCCAGATTACAGGTGTGCCCTCCAGCCTCAAGGTCTGGATTAAAGGCGTGTGTCATCCAGCCTTCTCCAACAAGACCACAATTCTTATAATAGTACCACTCCCTATGAGTTTATGGGGACCAAATACATCCAAACTATTACAGAGTTGCTTACCACAGCTGGGGAGGAGGATCCCTGGGGCTCCTCGGGTCATCTAACATAGCCAAATCAGTAAATCCCACGCCAAGGAGACAGGATACGGGCCTCATGAGGTGGCTCAGTAGTGCAGAGCCCAGGTCATCCATATATCTAGCAATGAGCTCAAGCTGGACTACAGAAGGATTTCTGGCAGTTGGATAAAAGCCAGAACTCTTCAGGAACTTGTTAAGTGGGTTCCAGTCCACATGTGGGTGCCTATCAAAGCCCATGCTGGTCTCCAGGCTCCCTCAGTCCCTACTCATCAGAACCCATGATATATTTCAAAGCCCACACTATAGTCTCCTGGCCTTTCTCACCTTCTCCCCCACGCTAAACTCTGGGGTCGACTCCAGCTCATGGACTTCCCTACCCCCAGCCACACATCCTCCTTATAACCCACAGGATTCTTCCTGCTCGTGCTCTCTCACCTCTCTCGAAGACATGGCCATGTCCAGGCTA